GTCATGATTGGCTAATCAGGCACAACCCGCTAATCAATTGGAAAACCAGATGAATCACCTTCGCCTGATGTCATTGCCGGAAAATTCTATTTGAACTACTGGATGAAGATCCTGAAGACTGATGGGATGAAGAAATGGAGGATGGCGAGACCATTCTTATGGTCGACTTACAAAGGGCCATTTGTATTCAGGCTGTGCACTATGCTAATGACTTAGCAGCAAAAGCTAATGCCAAAAAAGAGGAGAAGACATTCGAAGAGATGGTGCCTGAATGGGTGCACGACTATCAGGATTTATTCGAAAAAGACAATTTCGATGAACTACCTGATGCGAAACCATGGGACCGTGCCATCGAACTAATCCCCAATGCAAATGCCAATTTAGATTGCAAATGCTATCCACTAGGCAATAATGAACAACAAGAGCTAGACAAGTTTCTCGAAGAGAACTTATCTAGTGGACAAATCTGACCATCAAAGTCACCGATGGCATCACCCTTCTTTTTTGTCAAAAAGAAGGACAGGAAGCTCCGACCAGTACAAGATTACCAGAAACTCAATGAAATGACGATCAAAAATCGTTATCCTCTTCCATTAATCTCGGAGTTAATGGACAAACTTCAAGGTGCAAGATACTACACCAAACTCAACATTCAGTGGAGATACAATAATATGTGAATCAAAGAAGGCGACGAGTGGAAGGCTGCTTTTTGAACAAACTACAGATTGTTCGAACTGACAGTAATGTTCTTCAGCCTAACTAACTCACCAGCAACCTTCTAGTGGATGATGAATGATATCTTTAAAGATCTCATTGCCACAGGAAAGGTCACGATCTATCTGGATGATATACTAATCATGTCCAAAACCAAAGAGGAACACAGACAATTGGTATGACAAGTCCTATCCCTGATGAGGAAGCATTGGCTCTTCCTCAAGGCCAAAAAATGCGAATTCGAGATATTAGAAACAGAATACCTCAGAGTCATTATCAGCGAAGGAAGCATTCGAATGGACCCAATCAAAGTGGCAGGAGTAACCAAATGGCCGGAACCAACGAAGAAGAAGGAGTTGCAATCATTCCTTGGCTTCACCAACTTCTATCGAAGGTTCATTCGGGACTACAGCAAAATAGTCCGACCAATGACGCAATTAACCAGAAATTCCCCATGGACTTGGGGAATTTCTCAACAGATGGCATTTAATGATCTTAAATGCCGATTAGCTGAAGACATTATTCTGGCTATACCCAGCCAGGAAGGGAAGTTCCGAGTGGAAGCTGACTCCAGCGAAGGCGCAGTTGGGGCCATACTCTCACAGGAACAAGATGGCAAATGGCGACCAGTCGTGTTTATGTCAAAAGCACTCACAATAACAGAGCACAACTACGAAATCTACAACAAGGAACTCCTCGCTATAATGCTAGCTCTTGCCGAATGGCAGCATTATCTCATTGGAGCAGTCCAGACTTTTGAAATCTGGACAGACCATCAGAATCTTTGATACTTCTGACAACCTCAAAAGCTTAACTGCAGACAAGCCCAATGGGTCATGGAACTATCCCAATATGAATACATGCTACACCACAAAGCTGGCGTTGCAAACAAGAAGGCCAACTTCCTCAGCTGCAGAGCAGACCACAACCAAGAGGGAGACGACAACAAAGAAGTCGTTTTACTATGACCAGAACACTTTTGGGCAATGATCATGCCCACAGAAGAAGAGATGCACGAATGCATCAAGAGCACCACCTGGAATCCACATAAATGGGATCAATGAATCGCCCCATCACTCAATCACGAGCAGAGACTAAAGAAGGAAGGGAGACTGATTCGTTATGATGAACGGATCTATATCCCCAGGGATCAAAAACTCTGTGGTGATATCATCACCACATATTATGATCATGCAACAGCTGGACATCCTGGAATTGCAAAGACAAAGGAGCTTATACTAAGGGAATACTGGTGGCCCAAAATGGACCATAATATCACCTGATATGTCAAAGCCTGCAAAGTTTGTCAATGAGGCAAAACTTCAACAAAACCCAAAGCAGCACCACTCCACCCAAATGAGGTCCCTTCATCACCATGGACCCACATTTCGGTGGATATAATAACCAGACTTCCCAAAAGTGATGGCTATAATGTGATCATCATAGTAGTTGATCGCTTCTCAAAGGCAATCATTCTGATCATCTGCTCTACAGAACTGACATCTGAGGGTTGAGCAAAAATCCTATGAGATAAGGTATATGTGAAGTATGGCATGCCTCAAGTGGTGATTTCAGACAGGGGACCACAATTTGTATCTAAATTTTTGGATGATTTGTACCATCTGCTAAACATCAAAAAGAATGCCTCAACGGCATACCATCCTCAGACAGACGGCCAAATGGAACGGGCCAACCAAGAAATTGAAAAGTATTTGCAGCTTTTCATTAGTTATCAGCAAGATGACTGGACGGAATGGCTAGCACTAGCAGCATTCCAACACAATAACAGAATCCACTCCGCAACAGGTAAAACACCTTTCTTTATCAACTACGGAAGGAACCCACCAGTTGTGCAAACCGGACGGATTCACACAACGATGCCAGCTTCAACGGACTTTGCTACAACAATGACAAAGATCCATGAAGAAACCAAGGCCACCCTCGACAAAGCTGCTTTATCAATGAAAAAGCAGTACGACAAGCATAAACGGCTAGCACACAAATACTTAGTCAATGATAAAGTATGGCTGGACACTACAAACCTCCACCTTCCAAGGCCAAAGTGAAAATTAGCAGATAAACAGATGGGACCATTCAAAATCACAGCTAAAATCGGGGCATCCGCATACAAGTTGCAGCTCTCAGCAACTTGGAAAATCCATAATGTTTTCAATGAAACATTATTGACACCATACGTCGCACCAGCCTTTCTAAACCAAGAACGACTGCCTCTGCCACTGGCAGAACTCATCGACGACGAAGAACACTATGAAATCGACAAAGTTCTAAATCACAAAACACGATGGGTTAAAGCATGGGGCAGCAGAATGACAATGATGGTTGACTACCTAGTCAGCTGGAAAGGATATGGGCTGGAATCAAACCAATGGGTCAACGAGAAATACATGAATGTGGAAGACATGATTGTCGACTACAAGCACAGAATCAATCTAGTCGACAATGGGGGGATCACAGCAACTATGGGACATACAATGAAAAGCAATGTGTCTCAAGTACACGATGGATCCACAGGCAGCCTGCGACAAATCAAAAGTCATGACATAACAGCAGGCAATGACAAAAGACACAGACCATCCAGCAGAGGAGACAAACAGCTCACCGCTCTTGCAGTTCAAGATCCTGCGAGACTAAAGAACAGCCAATGTCTTTTTGAATCTGGAATCCAATGGATGGGTCCAGCAGATCAGCCATCTCCTTCCGAGAGAGAGGGTCTACCCTAACTTAACCATCGGGATGATGGTCTTAAGGAGGGGGTAATGTTACGATTTTTTCTATTTTTCTTCTATTTTCTTTTCTTTTTCCTCAGAAGTAACCCCTATTTTTGCTTAGTCAGGGCACTTAGCCAGCCCTTATGACCATGGGAATGCTTGCTCAGCAGCCCAAGTCGGTCATTCTCCTGTCACACTGCTGTGAGCTGTGAAGGGAGAGACAATGCCCTTTTTGTCTTCAAATTGCAGTGCATGACCACAGCTCCGCAGCAAGACAACAGCTTTTTGTGGAGAACCTGGCAATGGTGGGGGGAACAGCTCTACAGCAGACAATATCTTTTGTGAACAGTTATTTATAGCATGACAGCTAAACAGTATTTAAGTAGCTTAGTTCTCGCTGTAACACCCCAGTCTCAAACTAAAGTTTTACTTCACCATCTTATCTCGAGCTCCTGCTACTTGCAATGCCTTGACCACACCGACATCATTAACATTCGGTGAACTCTGATAGTCTAACCTGAAGTGCGAGGTTCTATCAGTTTATTATCACGTGTTAATAGTCATGTGGGATTTGGGCTTAACAGTTTTCCAAGTCACTCTAATTCGTCAAAGTAGTCTGGCACTGCCTTGTTGCCCATCTTGTATTCTTTTATCTTTGACCTGTGGACTTCTCATACTGCAGGGTCCGTGAACTTGTCATGGATCATCTGCTTTAGTACCAGCCAGGAGGGATACCAGTGATGTTGCCAGATAGTCGACCAGAAGTTAGGGGCCAATAGTACCCACCATACTTTTGCCTTGTCTTCAAAGTAGGTAGTGGCATAGTTCACCTTGTACATATCATAGAGGAAATATGAGGCAAAGATCTGGAAATATTAGTCACAGTCCATAAGAAAACAGTCAATATTATCTGATGCCCCTTTAAAAGGAAGGGGCTCTCATCCCAACATCAGTCTGATGTTCAATATATGCACCTTCAGATTGAGAGGTGACATCGGATTCAGGGGCTCCCCCCCAGGAGGACTGACCCAATCCGTTGGAGGTCCTGGAAAGGAATGTAGAGACCCATCATCGGTGATGGAACTTCTTGAGGTTTGCAGCCCTTCTTTTCATATGATTCACCCATCTTTGATGGTCCATCCCTATGCTGATGCTTTGAGATCATCCATTTTTGAATCAGTAGAAGCCAGACCACTTCCTTCAGCTTTGTCAGATGGTGGCTGCCCAGCGAATGGTTTTGGCAGGAAATCTGAGATTCTCCAGGGGTTCGAGTGTTTCAGCTTTTCTTCAGAAAGCCAAGATGTCATATTGCTCCTGAGAGGACTTCTCCTCCAGAGTGGTAGGTTACTTGCCAGGAATGGCAGGTATTCATCCTCTGGTAGTACTAGGGGCATCTCTGGTATTAGCATCTTCTCGCTCCTCAGGGTCAGTCAGGATCTTAGCCATTCCTTCAGATATCATCCAATCTCAACTTCTCTCTCCAGTTCCTTCTCATCTATGAGCCTCGACCATCGGTTATTTTTGAAGGAAAGGTTTCTCTCCTCTTCTATTTCTCTATCATCTCTTGGGCCAATATAGGCCTTGGGGGTCATCAGAGTCCTTCCAGTATGGGACTCCCCAGGTGGGTAGGTCCCATACTCCCATGGTCTTAGCATTGTACCACCACTCCCTTTCCTCTTCAATGCATCTGGAATAGTCTCAGAATTCATCATAGAAGTCAGGATTGAGAAATAGAGTGGTGAGCTTCTTATGCAAGAACTCTCGAAGGGCTCGATTGCTGATCCAGGGTGTTGGCCAGGGTGGTATTCTTGCTTTGATAGTCCAGTCAAAGGACTCATTGTCTGCCAGGTTGCCACTGCTTCTTGACTCGCTGGATAGGGATCCATCTGGACCCCTTTCTTCTTTGTTGGTAGTGTCTTTCCACCAGTCGACTATATAGAGATCGTCCTTGGGATCTTTGCTCCATTCAGTGCCTGGGGACCATCTTCGTTTCCTAGTTGGCAGGAGTTGTCGGTCCTTAGTACCTGATGATCCTTCATCGGTACTTTGATTCTGATCATCGTTGGCATCATCCCAGCGGTCTGGGGCATAGGGGTCATTTTCAGGATTTTCTTCCCATTCTGTTCCTGGGAGCCATTTTCTTGGCTCTCAGGCTCTTGGGATAGAGCCCCACTGTATTGGTCAGCCAATTCTGGCCAACTGTCAGTGCTCCTCATTGAGCTCATCTTCCCACTGCTGGCAGTGCTCGATCTTCTCTTCTTCCACCAGTGTGTTGGTGGAGTCGGAGTTGGAGGTCTGGAGGAGTGGGGAACTGAGGGAGAGTTCCTTCTCCTCTTGGCAAGGACCTGATTGGTCCATGCCTTTAGACCCTTGTCCAGGTCTGTTTCTGGTGATTTAGGCCTCGGCAGAGAAGCCATTGATGAGTTGATGGATAGTGTCATCCTTTATTTGATAATCTCTGATTATCCTGGTTGTTAGAGTTTCTAGAAGAACAGTCAGCAATTCAATAGAGGAAGAGGGTGCTTCGGTGTTGATAGAGCTGGTGATGGAAGACATAAAGTTTCTTGTCCAAGAATCAAGAAAAGGTTGAAATGAAGCATTTGGTTCTTTTAGCCTTTTAGACTTGAAAAAGGGAGGCTAGAAGCTTCGAGCTAATTGTTAAGCCCAAACTCCACATGACTATTAACATGTGATAAACAGTTCAGAATCTTGCACTTCAGGTTAGACTGACTGAGTTCACTGATATGTTAACAGAGGTGTGTGGTTAAAGCATTCACAAGTTGCTCAAGATAGGATGGTAGAGAATAAACTTTAGCTCGAAGCTGAGATATTACAGCAAGAGCTATACTACTTAAATACTGTTCTGTTATTGTACTATAAATAAATGTTCACAAAAGATATTGTCTGCTGTAGAGCTGTTACCCCTGCTGTTGCCAGGCTCTCCACAAAAGCTGTTGTCTTGCTGTTGTGCTCGTTATCATTGCAGTGCAAGGTGGGACAAAAGAAGTGTTGTCTCTCTCTTCACAGCACACAGCAATGTGCTAGGAGAGTGACTGACTGGGCTGCTGAGCTAAGCATTCCCATGGTCCTAAGCACTGGCCTAAGTGCCCTGACTAAGCAAAGATAGAGGTTATTTCTGAGAAAAAGAAAAGAAATAGGAAAAATTATAACAAGGACCCCCAACAGATTGGGCTGGTCCTCCTGGAGGGGAGCCCCTGAATCCAATGTCACCTCTTGATCTAAAGGTGCATATATTAAATGTCAGACTGATGCTTGGATGGGAGCCTCTTCCTTTTAAAGGGGCTTCAGACGATATTGACCACTTCCTCATGGACTGCAACTAATATTTCCAGGTTTTTGCCTTGTACTTCCTCTACAACATATACAAGGTAAACTATGCCACCACCTACTTTGAAGACAAGGCTAAAGTATGGTGGGTACTGCTGGCCTCTACCTTCTGGTTGACTACCCAACAACACCACTGGTATTCCTCTTGGCCAGTATTAAAGCAGATAATCTGTGACAAGTTCACGGACCCTGCTGTATGAGAAGTCCACAGGTCGAAGATGAAAGAATATAAGATGGGCGACAAGGTGGCACCGGACTACTTTGATGAATTGGAGCGACTCGGAAAACTCACTGGAATCTAAGAGGATGTAGCTGACTCGGAATGAATGGTTGAGTACATGAAGTGAAGACTGTCGCCTCATTATCTAAAGACTATTTCGGACCTCAGCCATAGCGTCTCAGTTGGCTATGATGATTGGAAGGCATGAATCATCCTAATGTGGCAGGAGTGACAATGACAGAAGGCAGAAGCAGCAAACCTGTGGGATCAGCACAGGTACCAGGGACAGGGCTCAAAGCCTTCAACCTCCTATGTGACCATATCCATCAGGCCCAGCAGCTCAGCCCCAACTTCTTAGATCAATGAAAAGCAAACTGGTAAGGGTCCAAGTACCAGAACAGGCAAGCAGATCGATATGGACCACCTCAAGAAGGAGGGGAAGTGCTTCAATTGTGGCCAACCAGGCCATATAGCATGGAACTGCCTAGAGAAGAAAAACAAATGCACATGAAAAGATATCAGAGCACAGATCACTGAGCTGACAAAGGAAGAACAGGATCTTGGGAATGATGACAAATCTGAGGAGGTAAAAGGTGAGGCTGAGCAGTGAGCAATTCCACTAACTTGGCCAAGGCAATGAGTAACAGGTCACAAACTGCTAGACAGACTGACATTTTATCTTCTGTAGTACCATCTCCTATGTCTAAATTATGCATGCATTTGAATATACCCAACCCTATTACTCAGAACCCAGAATCGCCTAAGGAACTGACTTCCATGACTCAAGCACCAATGAAGGGCCAAAGAGGGGCAGAGAGCCCCAAAGGTACATCATCATCAAAAATTCATCACACTAAAAAAATAAAACAGACTCAATCGCTCTCAGGCCAAACAGGGGCAGAGAGCCCCATTACCTGGCTAAAGCCATTTGACACTGAATGGACTTAGCAAGCCATCAAGGATGCCAAGAATGAGGAAGCAGCAAAAGCTGTGCTCAAAAACTGAGTGCACAAGTCCCAAACCAAGGAAGTAATTGATGATATGATCACCAGAATGCGAGTTATAGAATGATGCCATGCTTTGGAATGGCTCGATGAATTATGTGAACCACAAAAGTTCATCAGATGAGCCAAGTCCACAGAAAAGGACTTATTAGCCAAAGCACAGATCGAGACATTAACATCCCAATCAACCTATGCAGTCACTGCTTTGATTGACAGCGGCTGCACAGAAAGTAGCATCAACTGAGCTTTCATCGACAAGCATCAGTTACCCACTCGGACAGCAGCAGCACCTATTCCAGTCTACAACACAGATGAGACAAGGAACCAAGCTGGATTGATTACTGAATACATAGAGCTTAGGCTCACCATCGGCAATCATTCAGAAAGAATCGATCTAGCAGTAACCGACCTAGGAACAAAAGAGATATTCCTCAGTCATGATTAGTTGATCAGACATAATCCGCTAATCAACTGGAAAACCAGACAAATCATTTTTATCTGATGCTAATGCTGGAAAATTCCATTCGAACTACCAGATGAAGATCCTGAGGACTGATGGGATGAAGAAATGGAAGACAGAGAAACCATTCTCACTGTCGACCTACAAAGGGCCATTAACATTCAGGCATTACATCATGCTAATGACCTAGCAGCAAAAGCCAATGCTGGAAAAGAGGAAAGGATATTCAAAGAATTGGTATCCGAATAGGCATGCAACTATCAGGATTTATTCAAAAAAGAAAGTTTTGATGAACTACCCAATCTGAAATCCTGAGACTATGCTATTGAACTAATCTCTAATGCTAACGCCAACCTAGATTGCAAGTGCTATCCATTAGGCAATAACGAACAACAAGAGCTAGACAATTTTCTTGAAGAAAACTTATCTAGTGGAAGGATCTGACCATCAAAGTCACCGATAGTGTCCCCCTTCTTTTTCATTAAAAAGAAGGACAGGAAACTCTGACCAGTACAAGATTATCAGAAGCTCAATGAGATGATGATCAAGAACCATTATCCACTTCTATTGATCATGGAACTAATGGACAAACTCTGGGGTGCAAAGTACTACACCAAACTAGACGTTTGGTGGAGATACAACAATGTATGCATCAAAGAGGGTGATGAATGAAAGGCTGCTTTTCAAACCAACCATGGTTTGTTCGAACTGATAGTTATATTCTTCAGACTCACTAATTCACCAGCCACCTTTCAGTGGATGATGAATGATATCTTTAAAGATCTCATTGCCATTGGAAAGGTGATGATTTATCTGGATGATATTCTCATTATATCCAAAACCAAGGAGGAACACCAAAGGATAGTACAACAAGTGCTATCCTTAATGAGGAAGCACCAACTCTTCCTCAAGGCTGAGAAATGTGAATTTGAGGTACTGGAGACAGAGTACCTTGGAGTCATTATCAGCGAAAGGAGCATCAGGATGGACCCCATCAAGATTGCAGGAGTAACTGAATGGCCGGAACCAACAAAGAAGAAGGAACTGCAATCATTTCTTGGATTCACTAACTTCTACTGGCAGTTTATCTGAGATTATAGCAAAATAGTGTGACCCATGATGCAATTAACTGGGAATTCCCTATAGACTTGGGGAATTTCCCAACAGGCAGTGTTCAATGAACTTAGATGTCATTTTGGCGATCCCTAGCCAAGAAGAAAAGTTCTGAGTGGAAGCCAACTCTAGTGAAGGCACAATTGGAGCCATACTCTCACAGGAACAAGACAACAAATGGCAACCAGTTGCCTTTATGTCAAAGGCACTCACTATAATGGAGTGCAACTATGAAATCTATGATAAAGAACTTCTTGCTATAATGCTCGCCCTTGCTGAATGGCAGCATTATCTCATTGGAGCCAATCAGACCTTTGAGATCTGGACTGATCATCAAAACCTTTGATATTTCTGACAACCACAGAAGCTTAATCACAGACAAGCCAGATGGGTCACAGAACTATCAGAGTATGACTATACACTCTATCACAAAGCTGGAGTGGCAAACAAGAAGGCTGACTTCCTCAGCCACAGAGCGAATCATAACCAGAGAGGAGACGACAACAAGAAAGTTGTATTATTATGGCCAGAGCACTTCTGGGCAATAATCATACCAACGGAAGAAGAGATGCATGAACACATCAAAAGCACAACTCGAGACTCACATAAGTGGAATCAAAGGATCGCTTCATCACTCAACCATGAGCAAGGGCTGACAAAGGAAGGGGAATTGATCTGCTATGATGGGCAGATCTATATCCCAAGAGATCAAAGACTGTGGGGTGACATCATCACCATATGTCATGATCATGTGACTGCTGGACACCTTAGGATCGCTAAAACAAAGGAATTAGTTCTGAGGGAATATTGGTGGCTTAAAATAGACTATGATATCATCCGATATGTCAAGGCTTGTGAGGTTTGCCAATGAGGCAAGACTTTAACACAATCCAGAGCAGCCCCACTGCATCTGAATGAAGTCTCTTCATCACCATGGACCTACATCTCAGTGGATATGATAACCAGACTTTCTGAGAGTGACAGCTATGATGCCATCATCATTATAGTCGATCACTTCTCGAAGGCAATCATTCTGATCACCTGTTCAACAGAATTGACATCCGAAGGATGGACAAAAATACTATGGGATGAGGTTTATGCAAAGTATGGCATGCCTCAAGTAGTGATTTCAGACAGAGGACCATAATTCGTCTCCAAATTCCTTAATGATTTGTACTGCCTGCTCAACATTAAATGAAATGCCTCAATGGCATATCACCCACAGATGGACAGCCAAATGGAATGGGCCAACCAAGAAATTGAAAAGTACCT